AATAAGAGACCAGTGTGCAAAATTTTTTTTTGAGTATTGGCACATCAGTCTGTGAATGTCTTTCAAAGATAAAGCACACATCTCGCTGTTCAGAGAGCGTTTAGGGAACTTTGGTCAGTCTGCAGACAGTCGGTGTAATTTATAGACGTCTGGAGACGACAGACGATGCGTTTATAACAGCTAATGAAGCTTCTTACAGTAAAAAAAAAAAAAAAACAGCGACAGATTTACTGCACTTCATCTTTGCACCTGAAAACACAAGCATCAGTTCAATAACACCTCAAGACACATGATTTGAGGAATCATTCAGAACGACAAACACTGAACTTCAAACTTTTGAATTTTTAACTGCAATGCAGTTAAACTCAAGTTTATAATCATTGCATTAAAATTATATAAAACTGCTGTTTTGATATATTTAGAGATTTACTTTTGAGAATATGATGCCCAGAAATGCTGTCTATGTAGGATATTCACTAGGTTTTGAGAATGTGATGCCTAAAAACTTTATATATGAAGGCAACTCTATAGGTTTTGAGACAATGAAACGTAGGAAACTCATTAGGTATTGAGACTATGATGCCTAAAAATGCTGTCTATGTAGGAAATTCACTATAGGTTTTGTGACTATTAGGCCTAGAAATGTTGTATATGTAGGAAACGTCTCAGGTTACGTATGTTACCATGGTTCCCTGAGTAGGGAACGAGGCTTAACCAGCTCAAGAAAGGGCACGAAGCTGCCGCGCGAAGCCCTTACCATACAGGATTTTAGAAAGAATGCAAGGTACTAGCGTGCGAACTGACCACAGTGTGGATTCTAGAAAGTGTACAAAGACTTCACGTGCGCACTTACCATAACATGGATTAAAAATACCGTTCTAAGGGGCCCTCGTGGTACACTGAAGAGCAGCCCATAGATGGAAATGGTGCATCCCAAAACACTATGTTTGAGAGGTCATCAATTCGATCTAAGGTATAATGCTGGAGTGGCTAGCAGTAAATCTCTAGCTGAGGGAGCAAACACCCAGCTCTCAAGCGAGAGGGGGCTCGACCTACAGCATGTTCCAATGCTGGAACCGCTAGCAGTTACTTAGCTGAGGGAGCAACACACCCAGTTCTCAACCGAGAAGGGGGCTCGACTTACATCATGTTCCAATGCTGGAACGGCTAGCAGTAAGTTACCTTCGCTGAGGGAGCACAACACCCAGCTCTCAACGAGAGGGGGCTCGACCTGCAGCACGATCGTTAGAAATCAGAAGGGTAAGCGTACTGCAAGCTAGCCAATAACTCTGCCTGAGACAGCATTACACAAGAAGGTTCTCGCAAATGCCACCTATACTTCCCGCTCGATGCCTCGGCAAGAGGGGATATCCTGGTGACCAGGAAGGCAACCTAGATACAGTGTACCAGACAGGGCAGCCTGAAAGCATAAGCCCAGCCCGGACGTCCAGGAAATTCTGCAGTGCTGTGCCGGGGGCCTGATGGTCAAGAAGTCTCCCGCAGAAGCCTGTGACCTGGCCGCATGATCCAAGAAGCATGAAGCCGGAACCAGGGCTATCATACTGGCTGGACACCATATCGAACGACAACACGGATGCACACATCCTCTAAACGCTTTGCTAGTGCTCGCCATAATGAATGAATAGAGATCGCTCTTACCACGGAAATGCACGCTTCAAACAAAACGGTCAGTGAAGACGAAGAAGAGAATGGCATGTTCTCCCGGCGCCTATTTATACTATAGTCGCACCGGTAGTGACGTCATGGCTGTCGCCGGCCAACGTGTTGTTGGTGTTTTTTCAATGTATGCTTCAGACACGGCATTCCCCATAGCGACCCCTAGAGGACGCAGTTCGAAGTTCCCTTGAAAGGGAACTCCAGTTTCGAGACTGTGATGCCTAAAAATATTATATATTATATAGGCAACTCAGTAGGTTTTAAAACGATGATGCCCAGAAATGCTGTCTATGTAGGAAACCCACTAGGTTTTAAGACTATATGACAGCCAGAAATGCTGTCTATGTAGGAAACTGCAGTTTTGATATATTTATGTTTAAGAGACCTGCAGCTTCAGCAAAAGAACTCAAAGTCCAGTGTGAGTTCATAAACGAAAGCAGCTGTGTTTAATCATGTTCTAGACGCTGTTATTTATTATGTTGACATGAATTTGTTTCTCCAGCGCAAGCTATGTGAAACAGATGCAGAAAAATGTGAATTTTTTTCTGCTTCACTTCCAGTTAAATGTGGTAAAGAGACAGACAGTCGTCTAGACCAAATGATCAGCCAATCTCCGGCTCCTAATCGACCCTTTCCATGGAATAAAACATGTTTCGCAAGCATTGCACTGATTTCCAGGAATGGAGTTTGATCATCTCGTCATGGCAGGCACCGAAACTCTGCACTTCTGGCGTGTGATTTCTGACACTGCAACAATCCTTCTTAATCAGTTTTTGTCTTAATTAATGGTCTTTAGATAATTAAACCTGAATGCATTCACTTGGAAAGCAGAACTGCATGAGATAAAAAGTGTGATGCATGCTAATAAATGTGTTTCCCCTTTGAATTAAGCTTATTTTTCTGACCCCATTAGCAGATTTTTCTCATTTTAAACTTAAAGACAGTCTTAATACTGATCAGTTTCTCCAAAAACAAGACTTATCTTAATTTTAGTTCATGTGCATCGGTTGTTTTGCACTGTTTTCTTTCTTTGGTCTAGATTTGTTGCTACTGAGTCATTTCTTGTTTTGTTTTTCTCACTCATGACTTGTTTAGGTGATGCTTGTGTCTGTGTCTCAAACCCTATTGTGCCACCTAAACAGACAGCATATTTTGGCCTAAACAATGAGATTATAAACTTTGACTGCACTTCAAAAACATTTTTATGTGCCTATGATGCTCAGAAATGCTGTAGTTAGGCGGCTCACAGAATGCGTTTGATGTCTTACTACTGTAGGTGGGCAGTTTGCAAGGTTTTGAGATGGCCAAAAATGCCGTGTAGGCGTGAAGCTCACCATGTGAGGCACATGCTCAGAAATGCAGCCTAAACTGGCATATTGGTAACTTTTGAGAGCAAATGTCTACAAAATGCTGTCTATGTAGGCAGCTTGCTAAGTTTTAAAATGCCTAAAACTTATGTCTATGACTGCTCATTAGGTTATAGGTGCCTAAAAATGCTGTCTGTGTAGGCAACTCACTAGGTTTTGAGACACTGATGCCCAGAAATGCTATCTATGTAAGGTTCTTATAAGTTTTAGAGATGCCAAAAAATGATGTCTAGGTAAACAGCTCTTTAGGTTATAGGACATGTGCCAAAAGTCTGTCTTTGTAGATTTTTTGACGATGATGCCTAAAAATGCAGTCTGTGTAGGCAGTTTAAGATTATGGTGCCTAAAATGTTATATACAGTATGTAGGCAACTCTCAGTATAGAAACTATGATTCCCAGCAATGCTGTCTATGCAGGAAACTCCCTACATTTTGAGACTACAGTATGATGCCAAAAATGCAGTCTGCATTTAGTAGGAAACTCACTAGGCTTTGAGACTATGATGCCTAAAAAACATAGGCAACTCACTAGGTTTTGAGAAGCAAAGAAATGCTGTCTATGTAGACAAATCAATAGGGTTTGAGACTATTTTGCCTAAAATGTTTCACAACTCACTAGGTTTTGAGACTAGAATGCTCAGAAATGCTGTCTATGTAGGAAACTCAATAGGTTTTGAGACTATGACGCCTAAAATTTTATATATAGGAAACTCTCAACTCAATAGGTCTATAGACAATAGACTAATGTTTTCTATGTAGGCACCTCACTAGGTTTTGAGAATGCTCAGAAATGATGTCCATGTAGGCAGCTCTCTGTTTTGAGACTATGATGCCTAAAAAAAGCTGTCTATGTAGGACACTCAATAGGTTTTGAGAGTATGACACCTAAAATATTACATATGTAGGAAACTCTCTAGGTTTTGCCCAGAAATGCAGTCTATAGGAAACTCAACAGGTTTTGAGACTGACGCCTAACAATGTTTTCTATGTAGGAACCTCTCTAGGTTTTGAGACTAGAATGCTCAGAAATGCTGTCTATATAGGAAACTCACTGCCTATCTTGCAAAAAAAAATCTGTCTATTTAGGGTGCTTAGCAGCTTCGGACATCAGCTTAAAGATAATATGCTGTCTATGTAGGCAATACACTAGGTTTTGAGACTATGATGCCAAGAAATGCTGTTTAAGTTGTAAACTCATATGTTTTGAGATTATGATGCCTAAAATGCTGCATATGCATGGGGAAACTCTTGAGACTGACACCCAGAAATGTTGTTTATCTAGGTTTTGAGAATATATGTTGTGTTTATAGGAAACTCACTTGAGATGCCTTAAAATGTTGTCTATGTAGGCAACTCAGAATATGATGTCCATAATGCTGTCTATGTAGGAAACTCAATAGGTTTTGAGATTGATGCCTACATTTTATTTCTATGTAGGCACCTCAGGTTTTAAGAATGCTCCGAAATGCTCTCTATGTAGGCAGCTCTCTCTGTTTTGAGACTATGATGCCTAAAAAAACTGTCTATGTAGGAAACTCAATGAGAGTATGACACCTAGAATATTATATATGTAGGAAACTCTCTAGGTTTTGCCCAGAAATGCAGTCTATGTAGGCACCTCACTAGGTGTTGAGACTAGAATGCTCAGAAATGCTGTCTATGTAGGAAAATCTCTAGGTTTTGAGACTACGACGCCCAGAAAAGTTGTTTATCTAGGTTTTGAGAATATGAGACAAATGTCGTGTTTATAGGAAACTCACTTGAGATGCCTTAAAATGTTGTCTATGTAGGCAATTCAGTATATGATGCCCATAATGCTGTCTATGTGGTGCGCAGCAGCTTTAGAGCTGCCCTAAGGTGTTGTCTAGTGAGTGTGCGCAGTATGTACTGACACAGTGGCAGCAGTAGCGGTTTTGAGAAAGTAAAGCAGGAAAAGAGGCGCTTCCTCCCTCAGAGGCAGAGCTCGCTCTTCACGTATATTTCCTGTCTCATCTGTGACTCACGTCCATCACCGCGCGCTTCCTCTCAGATGAGGGAGGAGAATGAGACGCGAGCCGATATAAAAGCATCGATCCGGGGGTCAAACGCGATGGAGCGGGTAATGGAGCGTGTCGCTTTTGGATCGGTTCTTCTCGTGTGTCTGATGTCTGGTGAGTTTCCGCTTCAGTCTCGTTACTGTGACGCGACGCGTCAAACTCAGTGTTTATGGGGTGTAAATAGATTAATTATTAGTTCCTCTTTCAGTGTCTGGAACTGTCGGACAGCACGAGTCTGACACACGTTTCCTCGTGCGTTTGTGTGTGTGTGTGTGTTTGTTTGAAACGAATCCAATTTTGTCATTGTTTTATTTACTCATGCTTTAAAATCATGGCAGTGTTTTGTTACGACATCACTATGGGAATTCGGTCAAATATTTACCACAGTTTAACTAGTAACTAGTGCTGTGGTGGTGTCATGATAAAGTAAGGGTAAATAGGGGGAGACCGGTTGTAACATTTTTGACATTTCTATCTGTATCTTGGAGTTCTTTTAAGCCAGTGCGTTTAAAATGTGATACAAACTAGTTACAAGTGTCTGCTGTTACATGACGCAGCTGTTATATTTGCAGCACAAACAGAAAATTCATGGTTTAGTTTCAAACACGAGGAGTGAAATGTTACAATTCACATGTAACAATGTAATATCCCCCAGGGTGAAATGTAACATTATGAAATGAGGATTATGACAAAAAACACTGACTTTTCAACATAATTAGTGTGTGTGTTGTGTGTGTGTGTGTGTGTGTGCAAGCATGTTTCTGTCAGTAATTGGCAATTGGCCACAATAAAAGAAAAGTTGAACACTTGAACATTGTGTTTGTGTGTGAGCATGTTTGTTACTGTCAGTTATAATTCAAAGTGCTGAGAGACATCACTCAGTTTGTCTTTCTCTTACTGAAATTCAAAGAAAACATACCAATACAACTAAAATTAGCTTGGGGTAAGCTGCAAAATGTTTCATTGATGTTACAGCTAACCCCGAGTCTTGTAGACATAGCTCCCCATAGCTAACAACCAAAACATTAGCACAGAAACTTGCATTAAGAAATATCTACACAGACTTTGATGAGTTTAACTACAAAGCAAGGACTGCCATCACAAAAGTAAATAAGTAAAAAAGGTTACTGTCGTTACATCAAAATGAGTTTTTCCCCTCTAAAATCTGCTGTCTGCCCCAGGGATCTTCTTCATCACGTGTGAAATAAGGACTAAACTAAGCAAGAGTGAAGTGAATCAGGGGATTTGTCCCTGATTGGAGAGATTGGAAGTGTTACAATTGACCCGTGTTACAACCATCACCAGTCTCCACTATTATAATTAACTAAAATTAAAGCCATAAAAAAAAAAAATCGGTTTTAAGGTGTCCTTGTTACAGAATAATTATAAGTATTGAGTAATATTAATTAACTACATGTACTTACTATATGGTTAGGGTTTGGCTTAGGGTTACTTGCATGTAATTATGCATAATTACATGCAAGTAACCCTAAGCCAAACCCTAACCATATAGTAAGTACATGTAGTTAATTAATATTACTCAGTACTTATAATTATTCTGTAACAAGGACACCTTAAAATAAAGTGTAACCAAAATCGTTATTTGAAATAAACGTTGACTGAAATAAAAACAAATAAATTATAAATTATATTTATTATTGTATAAATTGTATAATAAATAATAAATAAATTAAATAAATCGTGTTCATTTAGTTTAACTTGATGTACTAAAATAACTCAAACTAAAAATGAAATAAAACTAATAAAAACTATAGAAAAAAACAATAGAAATGACAAAAACACCAAAAAATGCTAAAAATAAATAAATCTGAAAGTATAAAAATAAAAACATTCAAAATATTAATATAAACTCATATACAATACATAAACAAATCATAACTATTTACCCTGATGATATGTCACAATTATAATAAAATAATAATATAATGAATTGTATTAAAACATAATGCTAATAATAGTATATATACTGTATATATAGGCCTATTTAGAAAAAAAAATACAGAGGCATTTATTAATTTAATGCAACTTGTAGTAGATTTGTATTTAGATCAAATAAAAAATCAATTCATCTTAAATGAGGTTGCAGGTGTTTCGTCCTCACTGTCCTTCACTAAAGTAACACATAGTGTACATCCACACAGATGTTTCTCAGGTTTAGCGTGTAACAACATAAACCTGCGGTTGCATTTAAGAGGTCCTGAAGATCCAAATATCTCATTTCTCAAAGCTCCGTGTCCATTTACCGCAGCTAACAGTGATGCAGCATGTGTTTGCGTTTATTTTCCTGGCAGACGCAGATACTGAAGCAACGTCTAGCCGAATGTTGAGACGTCATCAAATGCTTGTTGCTGTAGAAAATGTTTTTTTTATTTTTTTATTAACACATGTGTTTGGGGTCTAAACTAACGTCGCGTTGCAGTTTGCACAATGTCTATGAATCAGCTGGTGTTTTTCAGTGGATTTATGAAGTCAGTTTTTGACAGATCAATTTGAATATCAACCATCCATTAACTAAGCACATAAAAAATGCAACTTTTGTCTGATCCAGGGTTATTATAGTTCATTAAAAATAAAACAGGAAAAAATGTAACTTAAAATGAAAACATTAACTGAAATAAAATATTTAAAAAATAATTTCAGCTACTTTATTTCTTAAAATTATTACAAAAAATTATATAGACATTTAATGCAATTATAAAAATCCATAAAATTACTAGAACTTTGACTACAATAAAAAAAATAACATATAAAAATAAAAACGAATTCAAAATATTGATAAAAGCTATAATAGTATCTAAATACTGTTCTGATCTTGCCTCTGCTTGTGTCTCTCAGGTGCATCAGCTCTGCTTCACACAGCCAATCCACACAGTGTGTGTAAGTCATGTGACCCTCAGCCGGCCAGCTGCAAGTCGTATCAGTGCATCGCGAACTGCAGCGTATCAAAGGTCTGCCCGAGTCCAGATGACGTCTGCGCCGCCGTCTGGTATGATGCACTCGTGAACATGAATCATGCAGCTGCGCTGGGGTCTGTTCCAACACGCTCTCAGACGTGATGCAGCATTCTTCACTTAAAGCAAGAGTTCACCTAAAAATGAACATTAGCTGAAGATTTACTCTGAGATCATCCAAGATGTAGATGAGTTTGTTTCTTCATCAGATTTGGATCAGCTGATAAAAACATCACAGTAATCCACAAGTAATCCACAGCACTCCAGTCCATCAGTTAACATCTGGAGAAGACAAAAGCTGAAACCAATCCATCATTAAGACGTTTGTAACTAAAATATGAGTCCATAATCTATAATAGTAACACTTCCTTTACTTAAAAAGTCATCTGATTTGTTGCTGAGACACTGATGCAATGCTACATTTCTACAAATCTGATGAAGAAGCAAACTCATCTACATCTTGGATGATCTGAGGGTGAGTATATTTTTTGCAAATTTTCATTTTTGGCTCAATGATTCCTTTAACAAATGAGCATGAAGACAGTGTGCTGATAGTAAATCTTCTTGATTTTTTTTTAAAAATTAAAACCAAAACTTTTCAGTCTGAAAATCACTTTTAAAAGGACAGTGCATCCAAAAAATGATAATTCTCTCCTCATTTAAATTTTTTGGGTGAATGATTTATTTACGGTAAGTTCTTTGCAAATTCATGAAGTTCTTGATGTTGTTGCATGTTCTTTAGCACCAGAATGTAGATGGATGTAAAGAAACAGAACTTTAAAAGTTTCTTCTGTGACGTTAACTACAAAACTTAACTACAATAACTCTTTTTCTAAACCATCTTTGATATAGATATAGATGCGTAACAAACAAACCTGTATTTTTGCTGCATTATGGGTGTTGTAGTTTGGTTTGTAGTGATTATTACATAAAAAGAGAAAGCGCAATGTTAGCTTGTTTCACTTTCCATGCAGCAGAAGATACAGGAACAAGAACCCAAAATAAACAAACGCTGGTGTAAATCAGCTGACTGAACACAACTGACTTACTGTTACTCTTACTGCATGTTTACTGGACACACTGCACAACTATTTCACATACTAGTTTTAAAACTGTATATACTGTGCACTGCCTACTATGTTTTTAAATTACGTGACGGCGTAAGCACTATTTAATGATAAACATTTCATGGAATAAATTCATGAATCATATATTTATTTTTGTTTTATTGAGATACTATTATAGCTTTTATTTTTTAATTTTTAGTTGTATATATATATATATATATATATATCGCAATTCCACGGTTATTTTTTAACACTACCATGTTTAACCAGGTGATGGCGCCAAATGACCAGTTTACAACCTTTTTTCTGTAATTGTTGCTAAATCAATATTTATTTTTTTAAATTAAACAAAACTTAATTTATCGCATAATAATTTGTATTACAAAGGCATTTTAAATCAAACGGGTTTTTACGACAACATGAGTATGTTTAAAATACAGATGCGCGTGAACAGCAGTTAAACGGTCTCTTTTTTACAGTCTGTGAACTGACCTCAGCAGTTCCGCGTACAAACCACACATTCACCTCAGTATATTTACTCTAATATACTTACCTCACATATATATATATATATATATATTTTTTTTTTTTACTATTTCTATAATTTTTATAAATTTTATTTCAGTTGTAGTTATTTTAGTACATCAAGCTAAACTAAATGAAAATGATAAATGTAGCTAAAGGTGTTTTTAATTTTTTCCCCCAAATTATTATGATAATATTTTGAATTCATTTTTTTAACATTTACATTTTAAAGTTTTAATCATTTGTTGATTTTGTCTTTTTTTTTTGTATATAGATATATATATATTGTAAATATGTCTATACAGTTTTTATTAATATTTATTTTAGTTTTAGGTATTTTAATACTTTAAGTATTTTAGTAGATGAAAAATCTTGACATTTGCAAGTTGCATCTAACTGAAATAATATAAATTATAAGGTTTTTAATATATATTTTTTTTCAGTTGATGTTTATTTTATTTCAAGTAATGAAAAATTATTTTTATGGTTTTAGTTTTAGTTAACTAAATAAATAATAACCATGATACATTTTCGTTACTTCAATATGCATTTATGTATGAATATATTTTGAATATTTTATATATTATGTATGCATATAAAATATATATAATTGTTAGTCTACTTTTGACAGTCTGATGAGATTTTACAGTTTTACTATATAATTTCCGGTTTATTTGTAGCACTGGAAATGATAGGTTGAGCTCATTGCATTTTGGGATACCGTATTACACACAATGAGTTCTGTTATAATTCTGCACATTTTGACAAATGTAATAGAGCATCAGGATATTGACTCTGCATGCTTTGCAGACTATACATACTTCATAGTGCAGAATAAGTATAAGTAGATTTCTCTCTTTCAGGTGGAGGGAGAATGGAGTTGTGACGGTGGAGACGATGTGTCATGACCCGATGCAGCCACTTTACATCATTCGCAGACAGAGATCTTATTTTTACCCTTCCGGTCAAATATTGCTCTGCAAACATCATTAACAGCTTTAACTTGTCACTGCTGGCAACCATGGTATAAGTGGGATAATGCACGGCTAGCTGTGCATTAAACAATTTTAATGCACGATGTAGTGGCAAAGAACCACCTGATGCGAAGCGAAGGTTGCCTCCGCAGATTTATGCATGATCCCTTACTTATCCACCTTATTCTTCCCGTAAGAGTGGGTGCAGCTATTTGTAACTTTTATGTGTCTGGCTTCTGGTGTCATCTGCTTCCAGCTACTTTTAGCTGCACAAAACAGCTCATTTTGCTGCTTGATATTGCAAACTTGTGTCTCGCCATATTATTTCATTGTATTATCTTAACTATGAACACAATGATTCGTAGTGCAAACAGTTTTAGCATTTACTGCATGTTGTTATTCTTCCCCTTAAGTCTCACACATTCACAGAAAACAGCTTACTTCTGCATTGAAAAATAAGGTGGATAGGTAACCAAGGAAACGCTGTATCGCTGCTGTTCCATTAGCGCCACCTGCTGTCAGAGAGTGAATGTGCATTTTCATTCAGTCCGTCTGCTGGTTTTGTTTTGTGCAGGTGTCTGATGTAGCATAATTTCACAAATTTAAAGGCAGACCGTTCTGTTTCTGCTTGAAATTATACAATCTAATTCAAATCAAAAACAACTGCTCGTGCTACGTGTGTGTGTGTGTGTGTGTGTATGTGTGTGTGTGTGTGTAGAATAAACCTTTTGATTTTGAAATGTATTAGTAAATGTTGAAATGAGCATTAATTAAGATTAATAAATGCTGTAAAATGGTTTTTGTTGGTAGTTCATGTTAACTAACATAACATGACTACTGTTAAAAAATGAAACCTTATTTTAAAGTGTTACCAGATAAATACATACATGTGTATAAAACGGCTAGTTTTATACAGCTCAGTGAAGATTTGTCAAAAGTGTCAACTTTTTCTACGTACTGGTTTCGAGTTTGAGTAAATAATACTAGTTTTAATAGTTTCAAGTGTAATTCATTTGAAATGATTGTAATGCAGAGAATGAGTGAATGAATAATATGGATACATTTTTCTCTGTGTGTTTTTGCAGTGCATACATCAGAAACGAAAGGCGCGTTCAGACTTCCTCAGCTCTGTAAGTTCTGTGACATTGAATCTACGGCGTGTAACGCCACCGGCGTCTGCGAATCCTCGTGCAACATCACCGCCATCTGCGAGAATCCCGACGAGGTGTGCGTCAGCGCCTGGTACGCGTCACTTTTCTGTGTTATACATCTATGTCTTTGTTTACAGACTCAATCTGCAAATATGAATCTCAATGATGCTAAAATAACACTGTTGAGAAGCAGAATCATCTACTCCCCGTTCAATAGCACTGCTGTCTAGACATTCATCATTCGCTATGTGAACTCTCTGTGTTCGTTCAGTCTGAATGACCGTATGTCGACCACGACTGCATTAATCAGGAAATGGCTTCACTGTGATACAGGAAATCCTGTCTGTCTTCCAGAGAATCCCGCAGGAAATAGTTCCAGTTTCAACTCTGAGAGTGAAAACGCACAGTTAGAATGATCAAGAAAAAAAACACTTCTTTAAATGCTTTCTGTCACATGTTTTTTTTCTATTTTTTCTTTTTCTGCATTTTGACCAGTTATGGGAAAAGTATTCTTAAAATGCATTCAAAATTCTGAATTATTTGTAATATATAATTATTCACGGTATTTAGAAGTGCCCACGATAACAATACCGTGCATATTCATTACCATGATATATCGCATTACCGAATACCGGCACAAGTCTAGATGAACATAAGTATTCATTCACAGACTTTTATAGTAGTAAAACACTTCTGGTAATCTCAGAATAACTGAATAAAAGTCAATGCACTCACAATGTGCATGTTGTGTTTCAGGAGGAGAAATAAAGGGAACGCCATCATCGAGACGGTGTGTCACAATCCGGCGCTCCCGTTTCACGGCCAGTATCTGACGGACTACAACAACACCGTCTGTCTGATGAAGCAGGTCAAGGGCATGGAGGAGGATTTCTACATCTGCTCCTGCAATGAGGAAGAGTGCAACGCACAGCTCTTCTTCACTTACGGTAAGACGCTCAAGAAATTAACACTTTTATTAATCAAGGATGCATTGAATTGATCAAAAGTGACCGTTATAATGTTACAGACGATTTCTATTTCAAATAAATGCTGTTCTTTTAAACTTTCTATTCATCTGTGAATCCTGAAAAACAAAACGTATCACGGGTTCCACAAAAATATTGTGCAGCACAACTGTTTTCAACATTGATAATAATCAGAAATGTTTCTTAAGCAGCAAATCAGCATATTAGAATGATTTCTGAAGATCATGTGACACTGAAGACTGGAGTAATGATGATGAAAATACAGCTTTGATCACAGAAATAAATTACAGTTTAACAGATATTCACATAGAAAACAGTTTTTCTAAATTATAATAATATTTCACAATTTTACAGTATTTTTGATCAAATAAAAGCATCCTTGGTGAGCAGAAGAGACTCTTTCAAAAACATTGAAAAATCTTAATTATTCTGAACTTGTATCTGTCAGATGTTCACTTCCTGTCTAAGTGGGCCGTTCTCGATCAGAATAAGAATATTAAGACTCATAAGTCACGTTTTGACTCTTTCACAGTGTGTGTAGATCATTTTAAAAGCATTTGTTGGGTAAATTGTGCAAGCGGTTTCCTATAATGTCTCTGTGGAGCTGCTGAAGCGTTCAGACGTGTGGTTTCCTGTCTGTGTTTATAGATCATCACAGGCAGAAATGTTGTTTTTATAGCCGCGTGTTATTTCTGTGCGTCTGCGTGTGCATGTGTGCACGTGTGCAGTTTGTATGGGGCCGCACATCACTGTGTTAACTGTAACGCGTAACATTAGGTAGTTTTGCGCAAGGAAAGCATCACTCATGTTTATTTCTGCTTCAGAAATGGCTAGAATCTAGTTTTAGATGAGCTAAACAGGAAGCTGCATCATGTGATTCTGGGAGGAAACTTTTGGTGCAGAAAATATCTGTTCGTCTGAATGTAAACACTGCAAATGTAACGTTCAGCGTCTGTGTTTTGGTCTTGTTGTTTTCAGTACAAATATCTAAATATATTAGAGATGCACTGTGACATAAGAAGTTTGGGTTTCTGAGAAATTTATCAAAATGAAGCGAGAACAAATATCTGTCAGTGGAGTGAGAAAAATCAATTTAACTCAGTCGGAAAACAAGATTATTTTTCTGACTCCACTGACATTTTAAGCGTAAACTCACTTCATTTTGATCAATTTCTTGGTTTAATAATGTTTATATATTTGTACTGGAAAACAAGATAAAAAATACTGAATACACTGGGGAAAAAAAGATCTTTTTATATTAAATAAATATATGTTTGTGAATATCTAGTTTAGTTGCTTCCAAACACAAAACTCTCTGTTTCAAAGGTTTAATGCCACTAACATTACTAGTTACTGTAATTACTATTACAGTGATTAGTTAGCTCTTCCTCAGAAGTGCTTATTGTATTGTTTCGTGTGTGCTTTTACTCCAGGAAGTTGTGTAAAGTCAGACAATCACATAGGAAATGGAGATAATTATAACTTGTCTAATGACAAACATTCTAGAAAATAGATTATATACATATATACAGTGCTGCTTGAAAGTTTGTGAACACTTTAGAATTTTAGAATCTTTAGACTCAAAACATAATCAAAATTTCACACAAGTCCTGAAAATAGACAAAGAGAACCCAAACAAACAAATGAGACAAAAATATTATATATTCTAAAGGGTTCACAAACTTTCAAGCGGCACTGTATATATATATATATATATATAATTTAGAATCATTTTCATTTTAAATTATATAATTATATAAAATAAAATACAAGTATTCAAACATATATTTTAAAAACCGTGTATAATAATTTTCAAAAATCAGTTTTTACATATTATGTAACAGCATCCATCACAGCTTTGTTTTTATTAATGACACATCAATTATGGCACCTAACCATGTCCATAATTATGACAGCTTAAACAAATTGTTCAATGGAGCGAGGAAACCTGCAGGAGTTCCTGACGCAGCACGTGATTGGCTGGGACGAGCTGTGCCGGTTGGGCTGGTCTCTGGCGAGGGGCGTGGCTCATCTCCACGGCGACCGGACACCGTGCGGACGCGCCAAAGCGCCCATCGTGCACCGCGACCTGAAGAGCGTGAACGTCCTGGTGAAAGCGGACCTCAGCTGCTGCCTGTGCGACTTCGGTCTCAGTCTGAGACTCGATAACTCCATGTCTCCTGAAGAACTGGCCAACAGCGGACAGGTGAGAGTGTAAGCTAATGAGTGTAGTGCTAGAAACCCTGCGTCATCTTCAGGAAAATTTCAGGAATTTTTTTCTTTCAAGAAAACATATCGTCCCACCTCAGCCCCAAAGAATTATGCTAATACACCCCAGTGTATTTCTATAAATCAATAGAAATTAGATATAAATGTATAATTATAATTGAAATTATTTAATTTAAATATTCAATATGTAATTAATATATTTGAAATCATAAAACTTTTTAGATAGTATGTAGTAGTATTATTATATAATTATAATCATTGTAAATTATATATAAAATGATGCTTACATGTATACAGTTAAAAAAAATTTTTTTAAATGTAATTGTTTATATATTATTTATTTAATAATACTAATCCATTGCATTTTGAAAAAAAAAATCATAACAAATTAGATATAAATAATGTTCAAATACTGTATATATTAAAATATAATTATAATCATAATAACTAATTTATATATATATATATAATTAATTAATTATTTGTTTGTTTATATAGTATTAGTAATTCATTGCATTTCTTTATTAAAATGTCTGTGTTTTAAGAATGTTAGTGCTAATTAATTTCTAATAAAAATCATAATTAGCAGATGCAACACAGATTACACATGAATTACAATCAGTGTTTGGTTTTATGCCATAGTTTGTTTGTTTTTTGTTTTTTAAATGAATCACTATGATTGTTTTCCTTATAACAGTGATGGTTCACGGTTAGTTATAACAATTATTGAGCGTGATGAGGTCAGTGTAAGTGTAAAAATAATAAAATAACATCAAAGACTGAAAGAGAAAGTGACGTCTGTTTGAACCACATGCTCAAAAATAATAATGATGATGATGATGTCAGAAGAATTAAAGCATTATATTTAAAGAGGAAGTGCAACACTGATCTGAAAGTGCAGCGCAAATGCTTATGTTTTCTCGGAGTCTAGAAAAAATTAAAATGAAAGCATTTCATTAAAAGCAATATTTAGGCAGAATTTGTTTTTAGTTCTGTATAACTCATTGTACAGCTGGAAAAACAAGCATTTCAAAATAAAAGTCTGTATTTTGCCAAGAGCTTGTAACACTCCAAAGAGAAAGGAAAAATTGAAATCGCATCATATGACCCCTTTAAACATATTAAATCTATCACAATAATGTGTCTGAGTTCAGTGTAAGTATTCATTATATAAGTGGGAGTGTTTTCTGCTGCTGATGCTCCTGAAGGACGTGTTTTCTTCACTCTGCTGGTCTTTCTCAGGTGGGAACAGCAAGATATATGGCTCCTGAGGTGCTGGAGTCCAGGATGGACCTGGAGAACATCGAGTCCTTCAAACAGGCCGACGTTTACTCCATGGCTCTGGTTCTGTGGGAAATCACGTCCAGATGCAGCGCCATCGGCGGTGAGAAACATCCATCAGTGGTTACACTCACCATATTACACACACACACACTGAACGACAAATCTCCGTCCATCTCACCTGATCCCAATCCACAGACCACAGCAGAGAATTTGCCATAGAAATTATGCATAAATCTTCAAAAATAAACACCCCTTCCCCAGTCTGATTTAAGTACAAATATATATAAAAAATATATAATTAAAAATAAAGAAAAATACCCAAAAAGATGTAGTTATTTTTAATAAAATTGGTTAATTATATATATTATATATATATTACATAATGTTATAATATTAATAAATATGTAATACATATAAATTGTATTAAAATAACAGGGTTTTTTTGTATTTGTCTTTAACATATATAACTATTGAAAAGCATCAGTCAAGCTTTCTTCAGAAGTTCCCAGGAAATGCATGCGTCAAAAACAGGAAGCATCGCTGTCATGAGCCGTGACACGCGCCATGTCACACAGCCCACTTCCTGTCCCTGCACCGTGCACTTCCTCTATGGCTTTGTTCTTGTTGTTGTTTAAAGGTCTTTCAGATTCAAGAGTATTTGCGACAGGAAACTACCAGATTTGTGTTGCTTGTTGTGAATGGCTGGTTAAAACCCTGCTGACGCACTTCCCACAATGCCATTCTCCAGTGATGCCCCGCCCCCTCTGAGCACAGAGCTGTCAGTCAAACTCACGGCTGGTGTGTGTGTGTGTGTGTGTGCAGATGTGCGGGAATACGAGCCTCCGTTCGGGAAGCTGAAGGATCATCTGTGTGTGGAGAGCATGAAGGACGACGTCATCAGAGACCGACTGAGACCCGAGATACCGGCCAGCTGGAGTAACCACACGGTAACTACCTAAACTAGTTCACTAAACCAGCGCTCCACAGCCCCTCATTATCAAACACAATATTCACAGACCCCAAGAAACTTCTGGTGCTTCTGTAATGACAACGGTGTTCATATTCAGACTTTTTTTATTTACAGCAGGGTTATTATAGTTAACTAAAACTTAAACATTTTACTTGAAATAAAATAAATATGAACTGAAATCAAATATAAATATTAAACTTATTTTATCCAAAGCAACATTTCTCATTTTCATTTAGTTTAGCTTATAACTAACACATAACTAAAATAACTTAAACTTAAATAAAAAATTCAAAATATATAGACATATTTAAAAACAACCAAAAATAATAAAAATGAAAAAAAATAACAAAATAATTAAACAAAATTAATTAAACTCACTAAAATCAATATGAAAGCAAAAAAATATTTGTTAAAATATGAACAAAAACTATAATATTAAATATCTACTCATTATAGTACTGTGCTGGCAGATTTAATATTTATTAATCTACTTAATTATTATTTAAATCAAAATGTTATAATTTGTTTTAATCTATTTTTTATTGATTTTAATCAAATATATTTGTTATTTATATATATATATTTTTATACTCACTGTAGTACTATACTGGTATTATTTATTTAAATCTATTTTTATTTATTATAATCATTCTGTTATTCATTTTAATCATTTATATATTTAGTTTAATCTTATTTTTATTTATTTTTCCATTTTTATCATTTATTTTATTTTATTCTGTTTTTATTATCTATTTTAATTATTAATTTTAATATAATTGTATTTTTTAAATCTTTATTATTTATTTTAACAATTCATTTATTTATTTGAATCATTATTTATGTATTCAGTCGAATCTTATTTTGATCATTTATCTATTTTTACACTGTTTTCATATCTTCATCATCAGGGCGTTCAGCTGCTGAGCTCCAGCATAGAGGAGTGTTGGGATCACGACCCCGAGGCGCGTCTGACGGCGCAGTGCATCGTGGAGCGAATCAGTGAAATCAGCAGCGCTGTGATCTCGTCTGTCAGCTCCGACGACAAGAGCGCACAGGATTCTGGGAACGACGAGAAGTAGATCCGAACCCGGACCCCCGTCTGCTGAATCACCTGATAAAGTCCGTTTCAGACAGACGTGGGACATTTGCACTTTACAGGAACAACTAAACACGCCAAATCCATGCATGCGTTCAGTACAGGTGATGTTTATTTAGCTATGAACTCATACTCCATATCCAGAGCGCGTGTATGACGCCAGTCGCTCGTTATGAATCATTATAAGCTTCAGGGAAAATCTGCTTCGCTGACGTGAAACAGTCGAACACAGAGGAACATGAATCCTGACGCAAAGGATTCTGGGACGTGCACCAAGAAAATCCAAGAGACCTTTAGTGAACTGACAGTATTATAAACCCCCGAGGTGATTATGAGCGATAAATCAGACCGAATCCAGCTGATTTAAGTGTTTATTAAAGGAAAATATAGAAAATAACCAAAGAGAACATGCAAGCCAAAGATGATCCGGATTATGAAATATGAATTCTGCTGTATTTTGAGACTCTCAGGTGAAGCCGTTTGTTTATTAATGTGAAAATAGCGTCTGAAGACTTTTACACACGTGCCTTACAGAGCAGAGATTGATTTCGATGAATATTGATGATCAGTTAATAAGGATCTAATTCTTCAGGTTCAGCATCTGAAAGCAAGTATAAAAGCCTAGAAAATGAGCACTTTTTACAATGCATACAGTATATAATCATTTGTTTAAAATCTTTATAAAACATCATAAAATCTTTCATTGTTTGTGAATTATGTTTTATGGACCGCAAACACACTGCAGCTGAATACTTGTGCTTTAAATCAACATGAAATCAAGTTTAACTCCATTAGTCTCTGAATTCATGTTTCTGGTCTTATTCTGAGCGATTATTTCGTTTAAGCGAGTCTAGGGAAAAAAAAACCTGATTTCTTAAAAAAATTTAATCTTTTCTTTTCACACAGAGTTGGGTTATTTACAGTGACGAGCACTTTCATAGCAGGCCGAATCAATCAAAAAGCAATCACTTTTATGCCAGGAATGATTTCTATCACGTATATAAACAGAACTGTGAATACTCGGCGGATTTAGTGAGGATTTGAGTCTGGTCGTGTGTGACGTGTGACGTGATGGAGGCCCGTCTGACTCTGATTAAATCATCTGCTGCCTTCTGCTGGACAGATTCAACTTCACATGAATACAGAATAAGATTGGTGTTTAGGAAGCTCACAGACTATTCCAGCCCCAGCCGCTCTCACAATAACAGTTTAGTGTTTCTTCTTAGATATTAAAATATGAAAAAGCAGCGTACATAGTTGTGGCCTGTTGGTTAGAGAGTCGGACTTGTATCTCAAAGGTCAGGGGTTCGAGTCTCAGTATTGTTGTTGGGGGAGTGAATGACCAGCGCTGTCTTCCACCCTCAACACCACGACTGAGGTGAGACCCTTGAGCAACGGTGTGTGTGTGTTCACTACTCATATATACACTCATAAGTTTGGCATTAGAATGATTTTTTATGTTTTTACAGGAGTTTCTTCTGCTCATCAAGGCTGCATTTATTTGATCAAAAATACAGAAAAAAAACAGTAATCTTGCAAAATGTTATTACAATATAAAATAATGGTTTCTATTTTAATATCCTTTAAAATATAATTTATTTCTGTGATGCAAAGCTGAATTTCCATCATCATTACTCCAGTCTTCAGTGTCACATGATCTTCAGAAATCATTCTAATATGCTGATTTATTATTAGAATTATCAACCAAATATTTTTTTGGAAACTGTGATACTTTTTTCAGGATTCTCTGATGAATAAAAAGATAAAAAGAAGAGCGTTTATTTAAAATAGAAATCTTTTCTAAAAATATACACTACCGTTCAAAAGTTTGGGGTCAGTACATTTTTATTCTTTCTTTTTTTGAAAGAAATTAAAACTTTTATTCAGCAAGGATGTGTTAAATTGTTAAGAAG